GCCAAATATTGGCTGAAATAAGGGGAATAAAGAAATTGAAGTACTATAGTGCAAATGTAAACAGCATTCACACTAAATACGCTAACGCTACAAACAGGCACAACACTGTTACTCTGATTTTACTGACATGTAACATTTTATTTCACCTTGCTCTATGTTTTTTAACGCACATTCAAAAACGGGAACATTTTCGGGAGTTTCAACCGGGTACCGGCCACCGAAAAAAGGGACATTGCCCGGAAAACGGGGACGTTTTGGTCACCCATCCGACTGTGTTTACAGCTAAGCACACACGCTACGATGAATTAAGACTACAAGCTCCCTTGGGGTTGAGGATTCTGTACACGTTGCTTGACTGCCACATATCTGATCTAGACATAGCAACGTGTGTTGGGGAAAATAATTATTTAAAGTTATTTAATAATTGTGACATTTATTTTACTTTTCGATGGATGAATGATGCTCAAAGTGAGGGGGCAAAAAAGACAACTGAGGGGGCAATGCCCCCTTTTGCCCCCACGTGGCGCCGGGCCCGACGTGGCCCTCAGTGAAAAAAGGTTGGACACCCCCGCTCTATACAGTACATTTAAAACGTGGAATAGTAGAAGGAGCTCACCTGCCGTCCAGGTCTTCGATGTCTTTGATGAACAACCCTCCTTGGTGTTTGCACTGGTTCTTGCACGCTTTAAGAACATTGATGCTCTTGTCTTTGTAAAAGATGTAACATTTACCATCCTCTGGGTTTTCCTTGAAATTAGCTCCATCTTTGAGAGACCCCACAGCTTCAGCGTCCAGTGAGAACAACCCCTTTGCACTTTGAGAGGTCATTTTACCCTAAACAATTATCAATTCTATTTTAAGTGGACACTTTCAAATAACTGCTCCCAGACTGTTTGTATCGAGGAGCTACAACAGATATGTATTTACCTGAGCAAGTGTTTAAGAGCCTCCTCCTGCTGCCTGTGATGCTGTCTGGGCAGGTCCTTTGGCCTCTTTTCCCATGGCATGGTTCTACGGCCTTGGGTATAGCTGCTATCTCTCTTAAGGAGGAGCAGCTTGAGCGCATTGTTGTTGCCAGTCTGTGACCGAGCACAAGCCGCCATGAGGTAGTTTACTCTTCAGGGACGTATGGTTCCCTGACGCACATTATTTTCTTTTGTTAGATTCAGGGTCCATAATTGTTTAGTCTCACTGATAAAGAATGTTGTTACACTCCGAACTAGTTAAAACCTTGAGCTGCAGAAGAGTTCTTCAGAATTGGTTTTTACTTGAGTAAAAGTAGAAGTACTCAGATCTTGTGCTTGAGTAAAAGTAGAAGTACTCAGATCTTGTACTTGAGTAAAGTAGAAGTACTCAGATCTTGTACTTGAGTAAAGTAGAAGTAATCAGATCTTGTACTTAGTGAAAGTAGAAGTACCAGAGTGTAGGAATACTCTGTTACAGTAAAAGTCCTGCATTCAAAACGTTACTCAAGTAAAAGTAGGAAAGTATTCTCATCAAAATATAGTGAAAGTAGCGACAGTAAAAGTAGTCATTGTACAGATTGGTCCATTTCAGAATAATATATATGATATGTTTTATAATGATTGATCATGAAAGTGTTCTCAAAGCTGGTGAAGGTGCAGCTAGTCTGAATGACTTTGTATTCTGCAGGGTAGCTTGTGGATTTACTCCAGGTGGAACTAAAGTCTGATTCAACACTTGATTATATTTCACATCATTCATCCAGATTTGTAAAGTAACTAAAGGTATTAAATACATGTAGTGGAGTAAAAGTGCAAAGTAGCATGAACTTGAAATACTAAAGTGAAGAAGAAGTACCTCAAAATTGTACTTAAGTACAGTACTTAAGTAAGTTATCAATATTTAAACAGACATGTAGAGAACCTCTTCTGCCGACAGGGGGCAGGAGCGCGCTTTTCATGTTATGTTACTACCAGATAAAACCTCAACCGATGAGGAAGTTGCGGTACGTATTTTCAAAATAAAAGTCAGATATTTTTGCAAAATTATTAATATATCATTTTTTTCTGAGAAAGAATAATCAGAAGAACTCAATCTTCTTTTCTTTTTTTACTATTCGTCACAACCCACATGTTGATAATTGTACATTCCTATATATTAAATACATATATATAGTTACAGGAGCACAATGATATATTTAAAAACATATAATAAAATAGTCACATTACAATTAGAGTTCAGAGAATTCCCAAGTCAAGCATTTTTTTTACTCTTGGTCACGTGACGTCCTGGGAGAGGGATCCCTCCTCTGTTGCTCTCCCTGAGGTTTCTCCCATGTTCCCTTTAAACTGTGGGTTTTCTCCGGAAGTGTTTCCTTGTACGATGTGAGGGTCTAAGGACAGAGGGTGTCGTATTGTCATACTGATATTCTGTACAAACTGTGAAGTCCACTGAGAGTTTAGAGAATGTTGTTCTCGTGTCTCCCAGTTGACGCTTTTATTCTGAAAGCACCTCCCTCGGATGTCCTGCTCCTGTTTTATTGCAGTGGACCAGAGCCAGCTGTTTTTGAGCAGAACAGCTGAGGTTTTATTTTTCACTCATCGCACTCTTTCATTTCCATTTAACCTCCAGCTTTTTTTATTCCCCCACTCCTTCTCCAGCGTCTTCATCCATTTCTCTTATAGTGTGTGTGCGAGTGTGTGTGTTTTTGTGTGTGTGTGCGCGTGTGTGCGTGTGTGTGCACCGAGCATGGTGGTGTCAACATCACAACAAGTCGCCCTGGCTTTCACTGCCGTGCTTTTCACGTTTGTTGTCCTGCCCAGGATGTTCGGGGTTGGCGGAGGATCCGGGACCAAAGAGACCCGGTTCGACCCCCGGCTCTCCAGAAAAGGTAAGAACAAGGGATCCAGATCTTGTACTTGAGTAAAAGTAGAAGTACTCAGATCTTGTACTTGAGTAAATGTAGAAGTACTCAGTTCTTGTACTTGAGTAAAAGTAGAAGTACTCAGATCTTGTACTTGAGTAAAAGTAGAAGTACCAGAGTGTAGGAGTACTCTGTTACAGTAAAAGTCCTGCATTCAAAATGTTACTCAAGTAAAAGTAGAAAAGTATTATCATCAAAATATAGTGAAAGTAGTGTTTTATTTTGTGCAATCAAACTGCAATGTGCAATAGAAACACCTGTTTGAGGCAGCTCAGAGAAGCAGGTATTTTATTGTGAAAAGCCTTTTTTGAATTAGCCTAACAATGTATAATATCATCCTAGTCATCTACTGACAGGATGTGCGGTTTATGCTAATTCTTTGTAATTGCTTTTTCTAGCAGCTCGTTCTACCTTTAGGCATTTTGTTTTATCTTACCCTCATTACCTCTGCCCGCCCTACCACCTGTCCTCTGGACCCTATCCCCTCAAACCTCCTTCAGACTATCGCTCCTGATATTCTACCGTTTCTCACCCATTTCATCAACACTTCTCTAACTTCTGGTCACTTTCCAAACAGTCTCAAGGAGGCAAGAGTAAACCCTCTCCTAAAGAAACCCACTCTCAACCCGTCAGATGTTCTAAACTACAGGCCTGTCTCTCTACTCCCGTTCCTGTCTAAATCACTTGAACGCGCTGTCTTTAGACAACTCTCCTGCTATCTCCATCAGAACAACCTTCTGGATCCGCACCAGTCTGGTTTCAAGGCAGGTCACTCCACAGAAACTGCCCTCCTTGCTGTCACGGAGGAACTGCACACTGCTAAAGCAGCCTCCCTCTCCTCTGTCATCATCCTGTTGGACCTGTCTGCTGCATTCGACACGGTGAATCATCAGATCCTCCTTCGCGCTCTCCAAGAACTTGGAGTTTCAGGCTCTGCACTTTCCCTCCTCACCTCATACCTCAAAGACCGTACCTACAGGGTAGCTTGGAGAGGGTCTGAGTCCGACCCTTGTCAATTAACTACAGGGGTCCCTCAGGGCTCTGTCCTTGGTCCCCTCCTCTTCTCCCTGTACACAAACTCGCTCGGATCAGTCATTAGCCCGCATGGTTTTTCATACCACTGCTACGCTGACGACACCCAATTAATTCTGTCCTTTCCCCGCTCAGAGACCCAGGTCGTCGCACGCATCTCTGCTTGTCTAGCTGACATCTCTCAGTGGATGTCTGCTCACCACCTCAAGCTCAACCTTGACAAGACTGAGCTGCTCTTCCTTCCGGCAAAAGATTGTCCCACTCTTGACCTGACTATCAACATCGGCACCTCAGTTGTTTCCCCGACTCAGACTGCAAGGAATCTGGGTGTGACCCTAGATAACAACCTGTCCTTCACTGCAAACATCGCTGCTACAACCCGTTGCTGCAGATACACGCTTTACAACATCAGGAGGATACGTCCCCAGCTGACTCAGAAAGCGACGCAGCTTCTGGTCCAGGCTCTCGTCATCTCACGCCTAGACTACTGCAACTCCCTCCTGGCTGGTCTACCTGCATGTGCCATCCGACCTCTGCAGCTCATCCAGAATGCAGCGGCTCGTCTGGTCTTCAACCTTCCTAAATGTTCCCACACCACGCCGCTCCTCCGCTCCCTCCACTGGCTTCCGGTAACTGCTAGAATCCACTTCAAGACACTGGTACTTGCTTACCATGCTGCGAATGAATCTGGCCCTTCCTACATCCAGGACATGGTTAAACCGTACACCCCAGCGCGTGCACTACGCTCTGCATCAGCCAAACAGCTCGCTGCACCCGCACTGCGAGGGGGACCCAAGTTCCCATCAGCTAAAACACGTGGGTTTGCTATCCTGGCTCCAAGATGGTGGAATGAGCTCCTCATTGACATCAGGACAGCAGATAGCTTACACACCTTCCGGCGCAGACTGAAAACTCATCTCTTTCGACTCCACTTCGAGCGATAGAATGACTAACAAAATTACTTGTAATAAAGGACTGGCTTATCTAAAGCCAGTTGAGTAGCACTTGAAATATTTTAGGTCTATGAAACCTGATGTACTTATATGATTCTGTTTTCTTCAAGTTTGTATTTTGTTGGTCGAACCTACTTATTGTAAGTCGCTTTGGATAAAAGCGTCAGCTAAATGCAATGTATCTTACTCGTCCCCGGCTTGAGCTTGAATCTCAGGATCCATGTATCTGTGATCCTCTCCAGAATGGAAGTAGTCATCACATACAGAGCATCAACTAGTTCCTGAGCAGTGTCCTTCACATGCTGATATCCAAGAGAGGGAGTTACACAGTCACAAGATGGAGGAATAGAAAGCAGTATTCAATGTTTACTTCAGATTAGCTCCACGTCAGAAATGAGCATGCTTGATGTCTCTCTCCATAGAGGCTGAATCATCATGTTAATCACATAGCTATCATATGCCTCAAACAGTCCTGATGCTCTTCTAGGTAATCACACATCCTGTCATGTTCACAGCTACAGTTGGGATACCTTTGTTATCATGTTACTCTGATACTGGAAGAGGACATTCAGTATTTCCCCAACAAATAAAAAGCATATCTTCCACCCACTGTAATCAGAATCCTCTCCCTTTGTTCCCCCTCATGTTGTTCTGGTATCAGCTGGTCCGGGTCCAGGTGCAGTGAGAGATCAGCCGATGAACCTGAACGCACCGGGTTCCCCTCAGAGCCCGGAGAACATGCAGCAGATGAAGAAGCTGATGGAGCAAGAGATGAAGAGCGACAACAAGTTCAAATCCAACAGCAACAAGGGCTACGTGTTCACGCTGATGCCTCTCTACGCCATCGGGCTCGGAGTGTTTGCAGCCTATAAATTCTTAAAGGTGAGTAAGTCTAGCTCATGGGGACCTGTTGGGAACACGGAGATGTTGAGTACCACAACGTTTTATGTTAGAAATGTATAGTACGGGCCCCCAGCACATAGAAACTACCGGATGCTAACTTTCATATGTTGAGCAATTTGCACATTAGCACAAGTTGCATTAATTAGCATATCACATTACATGTCACTTGTTAGACGCTTTTATCCAAAGCGACTTACATTCTCAATACTGTGGGCAATCCCCACAGGAGCAATTTGGGGTGAAGAGTCCCAGGGACACAACGACATGCTGACTGCAGTGGGGTTTGAACCTGTGACCCCCTGATCCCAACACCAATGCACAACCCACTGCACCACACGCAGACAGTAGCTAAACAATTGCTTGGCAGATTTGGACAATTTCGGAGTGGTTTTGGAGGTCATTGAGGATGTTGAATCCTTTTTCTGCCATTTTCAGGGTCAAGCACAGCAGTTTTAACCCAAAAGTGGCCATATTTAACAGATTTTTATTTAATTTTTGGACGTTTTTAAAGATTGAGGGGACTCAAAACTGCCATTTTTGGCGACACTTAATTTAGGATTAGATACACTGTCCAATAACATCATAAAAAGACAGGTACTAACTTGTCTTTTCTCATGTTCTCATGATAAAAGAGGAGGGTGTGGCTCAGCGCGTTGATCTTTGGGTGGATCAGGAGCACAGGTTCAATCCCCACTGCAGTCAGCATGTCGTTGTGTCCTTGGGCAAGACACTTCATCCCAAATTGCTCTTGTGGGGATTGCCCACAGTATTGATGTGCAAGTCGTCTAAATGACATGAGACTTGGAACAAATGAGCAGCTTTTCAAAATCTTGAAAATCTTGGAGCTGGGCGTGTCTGAAAGCTTGGGGATTTTTTGCGACCAACAACCAATCACATGAATCTCCCGCCCCCGACATACAAAGCAAAAAACCCCGGGGATTTTATGCGAGCAATAACTCCCCAAATAGGCGAAAACCTACCAGTTTCACCCACTGTCTCTGCCACCTCCCTCCATGCCTGGTTCCTCCGGTTTGTATCCCGTTAATAGTTCTGGTCGTAAAGAACCGGGTGATTTGCTACCGTAATTTCTCGTTTGGAATATGAGGAAATGAACTGCGGTCTGGTTCTCCCTGCTTACACGTGGTTTGATTGGCTGACGCTTCCAGCTCAGCTTCAAAAGTTGAACATTGCTCAACTTTTGAATCCTGGAAATCCTGGAAATCTTCGCTTCGCTCCCCCACAATGCAGTTCGGCAAAAAGCGAGGCAAAGTGACGTCATCCTCATTCAAAGTCAATGGGCAGAGAAGCGTTGGAAGATTTGTTTAAAGCTGCATTTACAAATGTGATAAACGAATTTGCAAAACCAACATGGCGTCATGTTTTTCCACCTACAGATAAAGTCTGCAGATGACAAGGAACAACAAAAGGAGAAAGTTGTGAAAGGAGCAAAGAAATCAGTGGAAGCAGGTGTGTGTGTTTCATCCCCATCTGATTGCTGTTTGTATATCTGTGTTTCCTCAAATCAAACAAACATGCGAGTGTTGAATTACCCCTGAAGGCACCCTCTCTGCACACTTTGTGTTTGTTCTGGTGCAGAGAACCAGCTGAATGAGCTGGAACAAAGGCTGACGCAGACGGAGAGGATGCTGAACTCCATCCTCACTCAGCTGGACCCGCTCACTAACTGGTTTGTTTTCATGCTCTCTGCTTCTGTTAGAGTGTACGTAACAATTTCACCAGGAGACTATGCTCCAATTCAAACACTGAGTAAGTGCATTGAACAAATCAATGACTGGATGTGTCAGAACTTTCTCCGATTGAACAAAGATAAAACTGAGGTAATGGTTTTCGGAGCCAAGGCAGAACGTATAAAAGTTAGCGCTGAGCTTCAGTCTGCAATGTTCAAAACAACAGATAGAGCCAGAAATCTAGGTGTAGTCATGGACTCTGACCTGAGTTTCAACAGTCACATTAAAACAGTTACTAAATCAGCCTACTATCACCTAAAGAATATATCTAGGATTAAAAGACTAATGTCACAGCAGGATTTGGAAAAAGCTTGTCCATGCTTTTATCTTCAGTAGACTCGACTACTGCAATGGTGTCTTCACAGGTCTCACTAAAACATCTATTAGGAAGCTGCAGCTGATTCAGAACGCTGCTGCTCGAGTCCTCACTAACACTAAGAAAGTGGATCACATCACTCCTGTTCTGAAGTCTTTACACTGGCTTCCTGTGTGTCAAAGAATAGATTTCTAAATACTGCTGCTGGTTTATAAAGCACTGAATGGTTTAGGCCCAAAATACATTTCTGACCTCCTGCTAAACTGATGAACCATCCAGATCTCTCAGGTCTTCAGGGACTGGTCAGCTTTCTGTCCCCAGAGTCAGAACTAAACATGGAGAAGCAGCGTTCAGTTATTATGCTCCAAATATCTGGAACAAACTCCCAGAAACCTGCAGGTCCGCTGCAACTCTGACTACTTTTAAATCCAGCAAGAAGACTTTTCTTTTTGTCGCTGCTTTTAATTGAACTATTCATATCTTAACTGCACTGTAACTTTTATCCATGTATTTTTTTTCTTTTAATGTTTATTTTATTAGCTTTTCTTTTGAATGACTGATTTTAAATGCCATTTTCTTAATGTCTTTCATTTTCTGTAAAGCACTTTGAATTGCCTTGTGTTGAAAGGTGCTATATAGATAAACTTGCCTTGCCTTCTGAAACATGATCCTCACGTCACTCTGCCTGTCCCTTTTCATTTAGCTGGCCTACAGTATAAAGGAGGGCACAGGGGATTGAGTAAATGTACTTTACACCAGATATATATTTGTTTTCATTTCTCTTCAGTGTGAAGTCCGTGGCCCTGGATCAAAAGAACGAGATCATGTCTCAGCTGCAGACCATCCGCGTCCTGATGAAGAAGAGAGGCATGGACTGCCCCCCAATCAACATCAACGGTACATAGTGTTTGATCGAGTTCTTAGGACACACTATTCACACTGTTACTTCCCAGTTAGCTTAGTAACCGCATGCATCTCACACCTATAGTTACAATGTTAGCGTGCATGAATGCAGCGTGCTAACTGTGAAATGCTTCCAATGAAAAAGACCCAAACCAGCAACCTGCAGGATAGATGATAAGATATTGAAAATGCAGTCACGCCATCTCTCGATCTGGCTTCAGCTTTGGTTTCTTGCCATAAACCACAATTTGAATTTTGACTTTGGCAGACACGCCGACACACGTTTTTAGAGAAATGTTTTGCATCTGATTTTACAATTACAAATGTGGTTGAAGTCTGATTTGCAAACACGGTTTCTGCATGAAAATTCCCATATTTTACATACTGTAGTTCTAGGTTGAAAATTGTCAAATATTTACAGTGACAATATTAAACAGTATGGTGAATCCAACACATATTTATACACCAGAGAATGTTGCAGCAGATGCAGTAGAGACCTCAGTTTATCATATATCCATACACCATGTCATACATATGTATAAACAGGGCCGCCTTAATGCACGGGCTGACCTGGGGCCTCATTTATAAAGGGATATACGCTCAAAGCGTACGCCAGTTTCTACGCAATGTTTGCGATTTATAAAATACTAACTTGACGGGAAAACGTGCGGTCCTCCACGCAAACTCTAACCCATGCGTACGCACTAAGCACAACAACGGGAGAGACGAGAAACTGCGACACCGTTGGCAGAAGGAAGAATGGAGAGAAATATGTGGAAATAATACCATCAGACCCGGCGCCAGAACAAATCTAAAGGGAGGGCATATGATTTTCATGGGAGGGCCCACAACACCGTCACATGCTGCGGGCCTGCGGCACAATATATATCAAACAGCAAGGCCAACAGCATTGCGCAAAGACGCACACTTATCGCAAATACATACACAAATAAAGGGCAACAGAAATAAACGTAATAACGGCTCCGTGCCAGCTGATCTGCACCAAAGTACTAATTTCCTTATTTGTTTCCTTGCGTATCTCTCTCTCTCCGCAAACTCTCACATGAAATGTGTTCTTTTGATGCGGCATGCCTTAGCAGTCCTTTATCAGTCTGTAATGCGTGTTTCCAGTCGCAAAAACCTTTGACAGTAAAAGCCGCATCAGATGAAGACGTATTCACTTTAAACTGTCTACAGGGGAATCAAAAGGCTGCGTCTGCTTTTAAAGAATATTCAAGCCATGGTCTGTTGTTGTTCCATGCAGCGGCTAAAGTGCGCTTCTTTCCTGAAAACAATCTCCCTGGATAACGATCCACCTGGTTGGGTTTATTAACCCCAAGATCATCTGGGGCTGTTGGTCTTTGAGCGGTTGCTGGCCCAATAGTACCTGTTGATGTGCTGCAAGGTAGCGTCTGTAGTGGAGACATCGGCACGGAGGAGGAGGAGGATGCTGCCGGGTGTGGTACAGGGTGTGGCAACGCAGGTGGTGACGGTAGGGGCACAAGGAGCTGTGCCTCGGAGGACAGTGTTGGTGGCGGCCGCCTTGATGAGTCAAGGCTTGGGCTCGCTAACTCAGCCCCGGGGTTTGCCGAGGCAAGGCGTGCTGCTGCATCGGCTGCAGTTCTTTCATCGCTATTTCGTTTTTAATAAATCCTTAGACCTTTTGAGCCAATTTCTGATGTCCATTGTGTAATTCAAACATAAATGGGAATCTACAGAATGCACAATAAACAAATCCAGAATAGGCGGCAGAGTGTGACGCTGTGATTGGTCTAAATGTGGACGAATCACAAATCACAACAGACACATGAATTTATTTGATGTAGCCTGCGATTTTTTTGTTTTAGTTACGATCTGACATCACATACATCGTAGCATAAAAGTTCACAGTTTATTTATAACAACAACAAAAAAAATATATATTTTTTAATTTTTATAAATAATAAAAATCGTGTTTATTGGGGAGGGCAATAATGTCAAATGGGAGGGCCTGGCCCTCCCACGGCGCCGGGCATGAATACCGTCAATAAAATGTTACCTCATTTATCATATAGAATTCATTTTCAAACATTGATTAAAGCCAATCTTAAAATGATTAAACAAACGCCTGTTTGCGACTCCTCAGTGCACACAAAAACATAACCTGGAGAAATAAATAAATACGGAAATGTTATTTAAAACCACCTGGAATATGTTGTGATAATGTTATGAAATGTTTTCTCATAAATGATGCGGTAAGCAGGAGGACAGAGTTACATCTAAACTGACGCCGTTTTGCATTTCTATAGGTTGTAGATACGAGCATGGTTACTATCACCTTTAATCATGTTTTATGCCGTTTGCCAAGACTTGATAAGTCGCTCGTAAAACACAGGAGGTATGGAAACTAAGAACACCATATGTTATGTGGTAAATTGTACAGCTAATATAACACAACACATTAGTTGTATTTCCTTTAACTGGTGGATATAGAGTTGCTGCAGTGGAGACGCTGCGCACAGCTGATCGACAGCTGGGACACAAACCACCAAATACAAAAACATAATTCAGATGCAGTCGTCATGACTCCACTCCGGAGGGATTCCCCGAATATTTCTTACAGTTTCTCATCAAGGGGGGGTCTCCTGTCCCCGGTGCAGGTGAATCGGGAAATGTCGGAACATTTCTGTACCTATTTTTTGGATTTCTACTAGCAACCTTCCCATGTGAATCCTACGCATGGCGTTATAAATGAGGCCACCGATCTCCGGTAGGCCTATCATGAGCCAATACAAAACATTTTTTTTTTTAGAATATGAAACTTTTATTTCCAAAATCACACGATAAATACATTTTTGAAGCTTGTAAAGGGAAAATGACAGCTCTCCCTCGCACCCTGCTCTTCCACAGCGCCGCCCCCCCTCCCTCCGGCTGAAATTATGAATGTAAGGCGTATAGTATCTAATCATAGATAACACGGCAGGGTCCGTTACAGTTTGTTTTCATCTGATTTCAAATAAACAAAGTCTTGGCTTTCAGAATATTAAACTTGTTTCGGCAAATTCAGATGATAAATACAACTTTGAAGCTTCGGCATCATTACAAGCGGAGAACGGAGTAACTTGACGTCACAGCAGGCATAACAACAGCTGGCTGTTTCTCGTGAGTGTTTTCCCCGGGAAACAAACGCAATACACACAAAGCAAAATTACACAAACACGTATATACACACACACACACACACACACACACACACACACACACACACACACACACACACACACACACACACACACACACACACACACACACACACACACACACACACACACACACACACACACTCGTGAGCTTCCCCCAGGCAGTAATCCAAACGAAAATATCTTCCCTCCGTAGTATTTTGATAATTTGCTCCGCTAATCAATCAGACCGATGGATTCCAGAGATGACTCCGAAACAGTCAGTGGGCACCACTTAACAGCCAATGAGAATATGTTTCACATGTGACTTGTTCAAATTGCGAGTGATTGAGTGACAGATGAAGGTTGTTTAGGAGAAACAGTTTGAGAAGAAAAAGTTTGAGAGCGGCGCTCGGAAAAGGAAATTGTTGAGGGAAAAGGAGTTTCGAGACAAGCAGCTATTACAAAACATGCCGAAGCTTACAGGTTGTTTTAAACCTGTAGGCCAGGATGAGGAGGAAGGACAGGTGAGTTCTGTACCGAGCGGCAGCGGTGCCGGCCGCGGGGCCTCGGAGCCAAGTAGGCCGTCTGGTTCTGATAGCGATGAGAGGAAAAACAGACAGGAGGGACATTATCTGTTGGAGGAGATGGAGAGGACGATGGGGACTTGCTACGTGGAGGGGAGCCAACGGAAACCGGACAGATACATGAGGGAGGCCCGATACGTCACTCATCTGGAGGAGAGGACCAGGCGCGCGTAGAGCAGAGTGGAGAAGTGCGATCACAGAGCCTGCCGAGGCTATAAATGACTTGTTGTTTAAATAGGGGGCCTACAAAAACTATCAGCCTCAGGGCCTGATGGCAGGTTAAGGCGGGCTTGTGTATAAAGTGTCTTTTAAAGAACTTTGGCTGAAACACAAAATAAGAGAGAGGAGAATCAGGTGTTACAGCCGCCTCCGTGCAGCTTTTTCTAGTACAGTAGACAAAGGAATAACCTGTTTTGCATGTTCTGTGCTGCGGGGCTTTTCTGTGGTTTCGTCCCAGAATCTGAAACCAAAATACTAACCTGCTGATTATACTTTCAACCCGTCATCCAGAGACATGCAAATGGCGGCTGAAGTGTTTACTTTCAACGTGAACCGTCACACTATAGCTGCACACAGTACGTTATACGGTACATTTACAAATAGTGGTTGTCTTTAACTTGAGATACAAAGAGAACCAAACATTAGAAAATAACTACATCGTGTTTTGGTAAGAAGCCTCCTCCTTTTCTTCCTGTTTTAATTTGCTTTAGGATCTGTTAAAGGTGGGGTAGGTAATTTTGGAGAAAGCAGCTCGAGTGCGCGAGAATTTGAAAACACACAGCCGGAGAAAATCTGCCACTTCCTCACAGAGCCCCTCCTCCAACACACACGAACATGACCAATGAGGGCACGAGATCAGTTTGTGGCCAGATGGAAGGCTGACAGGCAGGTAGGCCATCCAGTTACTTTAGCCGGGCCGGCTCAGATGATTGGTCGAGCTTTTTACAGCGCTACGGCTTCCACTGATGATATGTTTTATGTATTTGTTGTCAAAGCACTTCAGATATTCATTGCTATCGGGATGTTAAGAGCATTCCATGGAATATAACAAAAAGTGTGTCTGAAGTGAATTACCTACCCCTACCTTTAATTTTTTTTTTGGAAAACTTTATTTTATATTATTTGGGCAGTACATGATATACACAAGTTACATTAATAATACACATAAAACACAATGAATACATATATAAATAACATAAAGAGGGCACGTTTATATTCCAATGAGACTCAGCTCGGTCACAGACTCAAAACGCCCCATGGCTGAGTCTGGGATTTGTCCAGGGTTTTTCTTCTCCTTAGTTCAGTAAGTATTTGTTTCACGATGGTGCCACTGTTTATGATCGTCTGATTTAGATGTTCATACATGTGATACAAATGACCAGCTGAAAAAGGTCCCTGTGTTTATTGTCCATCCCCTCATCCAGAATACAATACATGATTGAGATATCATTTACATTGAAGTCTAACCCGATGCCCCGTAGGAGCGACCACACCTCCTGGGCTCTGTAGCAGTCCATGAGGAGGTGCTGTAGAGTCTCGTCCTCCTCACAGTTAATCATGGGGCATGTTCTAGTTGTCACATAGCAGCTCCATGAGACCACAGCTCTGACCGCAAGTCTGTTGACAGCCACCTCACGTCTCTCATGCTCTCTGATAACTGTTTACTTTTGACTAATTTTAAGACTTCGTTACCTTCGTCAGGTGTTTTTGTATGCTATAACACCTCCATATTTGAAATCGTTAAAAAAATTACTCTATTCGGTAGTCCGATCCAATCGATCTCTAAATGCTGAACTTCAGTTGTGAAGTCACCATAAAGTAACTTGTAATATGGTCCATTTCTAGCTCTGCCTCTTCTTTTCTTCCATCCCATTTCTCCATCCTCAACCCAAGGTGCTTTCCTATCGATTGCAGCCGAGATGTTTTTTACGAAGGTAAATCAGAGTCTCTGCTGCCCTGAGATACTTCACACAGAAATGCTGTCCATTTGTTGAATGCAATTAAACCTGCATTAGCGTTGAAAGCTTTCTGGCGGTTAATAGCAGGAATAAATCCCTCCGTGACTTCTTTCTGCAGGAAGTGTTGGGTTTCGTTGATGGTTACTGAACAGCTCACAAGTGACAGGAAAGACTTGATGAACGAAAGCAATATTTCTAATGTTTGTTTTTAAAAGTGACAGCAGAACATATCTGTTTACGGAGGCTGTGGCTCAGTGGACAGTGTGCTGGACTTCGAATCAGAGGATAGCAAGTTCGAGTCCCACTGCAGTCAGCTTGTCGTTTTGGGGAGGTATTTTCTGTGTTAGAGTTTTACTCGCTACAGGGTGTACTTTGAGGGTTTGTGACTGCAGACCGTTTACATGCAGAACAACCTTCATAACAACAAGGGGACGGGTCATAACCGGAAAAGCATGACATGGGACCTTTAAGATGAATTGGTTATGTTACAGTAGCTGCTAGAATACTTCAGAGTTTTCCACATGGCTTCTGTTGCATATCTCTTTTTAATGCCGCTATCCACTGAGACTTAACTGTGTTTTAAATTCTGGCTTTTATCAGATAATAATAATAATAAGTATAATGATAATAATAGTTATATAAATCAACATTTACATTTTTTATAAAATCAATAAAACAATAAAAAAACTAATAAAATAATAAGAATGAAGACCAACTTAAAAGGGAATGTCGCTAATAAAACTATAAAATATATACAATAAATAAAAGCCTATAAAATAAATCAATAAAAGGGGGTTGTCTAATAAAACTCTAACCTAAAAATATATGTTTTCAGCTGTTTTTTATCAATGGAAAATGCCCTTCACTTTTAAATCCGTTAAACATTCATGTTTGTCATCTTGCAATCTACCCATTTATTTAAATAGTTGTCAATGCAATAAACCGTATTTAATTTAGTCTTAATTTACATTATTTAATTTCATATTCTGTTCTTGTACATATCATATTCTATTGACATGTATATAGACTTCTTGCACTACTTTTTTATTACAGATGTTGCATTGTTGGAGGGGCTCATGTCTGAAGAATTTCATTGCCATTTCTACACCGTAGCTTCTGTGCGTATGACAATACAAACTTTTGAATCTTGAATATCGCCTGTCTTTCAGAGTCGTCCTGCGAGCGAAATCTAGACGACATCATCGAGTCGCTCAGAGCCAAAGACTCTGCAGCGGAAAGTTCTCCAGAAACGCCTGAAGCTTCGGAGCAGATCCGTCCGAGGGGTTTGGAAGACGATGCTGCAGCAGAAGGTGAAGAGATGAAGGAGCTGAAACCTGAGGAGTCAGACGGGGAAGTGGCCGAGAAAGAAGAAGGAGAGGAGGAAGAGGAAGAGGAAGAGGAGGAAGGTTTGGAGGACTCTGAGCTCATGCCTTCTTTAGAGGACTCCTCTGAGACAAACATTGAGGACGTTGGATCAGAGCAGCTTGTTTCTGGCCTCAGGCGTCGAAACAAGCCCGACTGAACTCACTGTGGAGGAATGAGACGGATTATTATCAAAACCTGAATGTCTTTCTTTCCCAAATAGTCTTCTTGCCTGCAGTGTGAATGCAGAAATGTTAAGTACCCCAAAGCTTTATGTTAGAAATGTATGGTACGGGTCCCCAGCAATTTGCCTAGTTGGCATAAGTTGCATTCATGAGAATATGCAGACAATATTTCAAAAGTGGCTTGGCTGATTTGGACAATTTTGGTCTGGTTTTTCAGATGTTGAATCAATGTTTGACCTTTTTATGATCAGAAATGGGAGTTTTGAGTCTCCTAAAACTTTCAAATCGACCCAAAATTCATTAAGAAAACACATATGTCCACTTTCTGGTTAAAACTGCCCTTTTTGGTCCTGACCATGTTAGAAATTGATTAAATAACCTCCAAAACCACAACAAGATCATCCAAATCTGCCAGCCCATTTTATAACTATTGTCTGCATATGCTAACTAACGCAACTTAGGCTAATTGTATACACATGTCCAACATATGCAAGTTAGCATCCGGCAGTTTCTATGTGCTGGGGACCCGTACTCTACATGTCTATCATACAACTTTGGGGTATTCAACATTTCAGTGTTTACAACAGGACTCTATGAGATGGTAAACTAAAAGGCTGTCTACATATTAACAATAATCATATATTGCATTCATAGGAAACTCTAACACATGATGCTCTATTTTCCTGTTGCACTCACAGGGACCAGCACAAACACATGTGCACCAGGTCAACGAGTCAATATGATACTACTCTTCCTATAGATCAGGGGAGTCAAACTCAATTTCATCGCGGGCCACATTCGTATAAAGGTTGCACTCAAAGGGCCGGTTGTAACTATATTAATATATAGATACAATAATGTATTATATGACATTATTGCCTCTGAATTGGATTATTATCGGATAGGATAATAACTTAGTAATTAACTACGTCTGAAAGCAGAAGTCCAGGGCAAATAATTGCAAGTCTCTTCAGTGAGCACAAAAACGAGATGCATTGTGGGACATGTAGTTTATGGGCAACGTGCTACTGTAAAGTGGCATGTACCCGTATAATAAACGTATTATATTCTTTGCAAGCTCTTGCGGGGCCACATAAAATGAAGTCGCGGGCCGGTTTTGGCCCCCGGGCCTTGAGTTTGACACCCCTGCTATAGATGCAAAAAAGGGTTACATGACATATTAATCCTCTCTGTTTCTGTCAGACTACTCGTTTCATACCTTTGTAACATCTGTGAGAGGAATCTGCAGCGTGAAGTTACTCTTCCTACATTTATTCAGATTTTACCTACAATTTACTCCATTTTCATAATAACTTGGTGCTTACCAATGATAATGTTGTTGTAAATAGCAGTGTGCATGAATACTGTTTAAACTCAGACCCTCTTCCACCCTCACGGGAAGAAAAAAAAAAATCAATCCTCTTGCTGTTCCTCTCACTTCTGCACCACATGCACACTGGGCACAAAAACAGACGGAGGATAGACGTGTTGGAGGAGGAGCCCCAGCATTGTGTAGTGCTACTGGTTTTAGTCTTTGTGTGCTGACTTTAAAATGTCCTGCTAAAAGTCATTTTGCCAACACTTATCATTGCCTTTTTTTTAGGATGAAATCACTACATGTATATTTATTTGATTGGCTCTGTCGTTGGTTTCTATGCATTAAAAGGAGGCTGCATTTGCCATTACTTTTCACATGTTTATCCAGCTGTCCAACAGACTTAGGATAACAATACTGAGATGTCTTTTTGCGGTACTGTTGTTGCATTTCCTGCAGGTCTTTTAACGCTTATTTCCACTTTGATGAATGCCACAGGAAGTGAGCATTGGATTACTTAAAACCCCAGCTTCTCCGTGTGTTCATTTAGAGAACGAGTGCTTTCATGGTTTGCATCCTAACCCCGAACATCCTGTGTGCTGGGACTTTCCAGAAATGAAGGATTGATTGATTGATGACCATTTCCTGTTTAATCATAAAGGGATTGACTCTAATGCGCTGGAGGCGATGAGCAGAATATTCTAATGTGTGTTGTGAGAATGTGAACCTGTGTTTGGGTATACATCAAAACCAACTGCATGTGCTTTCTCAAATCATATGTAAATGTAATTATCATATAGGAAGATGACAATCATTTGGTCAACCATTTTAAATCATTGTATTTGGGATGTGTTTAATTGGATGTTTGTTGGATACTTATATCATTGAGAGAAGTGCATTTTATTGCTCAGTCATTGGGTACATACTATCAATGTGCTTTTCTAAATATCTCTTACTATTCAGGTGTGAATTTTTGTTTTTCAGTCATGTTATAATTAGTGCTGATCATCATTTTTGTGTGTTACAGTTTAGGACTCACTTTATTAGTAGATTATAGAATACAATTTGCTTAGTGTTTGGGAAAAATTCATTTAAAAATGAATTATGTTTGGAAAATTGAGATTCCCCATTAGCAGAGTGTAATAATTTAATATCACATGTTGTTATTGTGAAGCCCAGCCATCATTGCCCAATTATTGGCTGTTTTACCACTTAATCATGAGCTTATTTATCTATTCATTGCCACATCGTACATATTTGCCTTCATTTGTTTTCTAAATGTGTGTATTCTCAACTGGTCAGGCCTCGGGACCCACTTTTTTCCTTTTTCAATAAATCGTGACCCGATATTTTACATTACATTATTACATTACATTGCATTTAGCTGACGCTTTTATCCAAAGCGACTTACAATAAGTACATTCGACCAGGAAGACACAACCTTGAAGAAAACAGAATCATATAAGTACATCAGGTTTCATAGAGCCAAACATTTCAAGTGCTACTCAACTGGCTTTAGATAAGCCAGTCCTTTATTAGTATATAAGTGCTTTGTTAATAGTTCTATCGCTCGAAGTGGAGTCGAAAGAGATGAGTTTTCAGTTTGCGCCGGAAGGTGTGTAAGCTATCTGCTGTCCTGATGTCAATGGGGAGCTCATTCCACCATCTTGAACCACTCAAATCTATTCAACAACAAATCGTGCTGTAATATATACGCTTTTCAGCATACAATATTAATTAAAGTGAAGTGCAGTGCATATATCCCGTATATCCCCTTCACTGAACTAAAGTATGCTTTTAAATAAGGTTTAATGAGATGATGGAATCAAAGCTGAACTGTATCACATAGAAAGGCACATGCTGAAAACCCATCCCCAGAAGTGGGGTCTGGAGGGATTGTCCCCCAGGAGATTTTTAGAAATACTAACATATAAACTACGCATTCTGGTACACTCTGAGAATTAAATAAATAAATGTATTACTATCCGACATATTAATAATATTTTATGCCATTGTTTGTTTGTCACTTAGTTCTGACAGCTTGCTGCTCCTCACAGAGAGAAGAGCAAGGAGGAGAGAGTCTGTGTGACTTACTTTAGATTGTGGGTAAGGGTAGATTTGACAATGTTGTAAACTAACTAAGTAGATTTACTCAAGTAGCCTACTAACTAACATTTTGAGGTACTGGTACTTTACTTGAGTATTTCCATTTGATGCTTTGTACTTCTTCTCCACATGCATTTAATCCCTTTAGTTACTTTACAGATCTGGATGAATGATGTGAAATATAATCAAGTGTTAAATCAGACTTTAGTTCCACCTGGAGTAAATTCACAAGCTACTGTTGTGTAACTTGTGAAAAAAAAAAAATTCCAGGAAAGACAGACGACTTCTCAGTTTAACTATTTATTATGAGGCAAGGCATATAGCACCTTTCAACACAAGGCAATTCAAAGTGCTTTACAGAAAATGAAAGACATTAAGAAAATGGCATTTAAAATCAGGCATTAAAAAGCAAAGATAATAAAATAAACATTAAAAGAAAAAATGCATGGATAAAAGTTACAGTGCAGTTTAAGATGTAAATAATTCAATTAAAAGCAGCGGCAAAAAGAAAAGTCTTCAGCCCGGATTTAAAAGTAGTCAGAGTTGCAGCGGACCTGCAGGTTTCTGGGAGTTTGTTCCAGATATTTGGAGCATAATAACTGAACGCTGCTTCTCCATGTTTAGTTCTGACTCTGGGGACAGAAAGCTGACCAGTCCCTGAAGACCTGAGAGATCTGGATGGTTCATCATTTAGCAGGAGGTCAGAAATGTATTTTGGGCCTAAACCATTCAGTGCTTTATAAACCAGCAGCAGTATTTTGAAATCTATTCTTTGACACGCAGGAAGCCAGTGTAAAGACTTCAGAACAGGAGTGATGTGATCCACTTTCTTAAGTGTTAGTGAGGACTCTGAGCAGCAGCGTTCTGAATCAGCTGCATCTTCCTAATAGATTTTTAGTGAGACCTGTGAAGACACCATTGCAGTAGTCGAGTCTACTGAAGATAAAAGGATGGACAAGGTTTTCCAAATCCTGCTGTGACATTAGTCTTTTAATCCTAGATATGTTCTTTAGGTGATAGTAGGCTGATTTAGTAACAGTTTTAATGTGACTGTTGAAACTCAGGTCAGAGTCCATGACTACACCTAGATTTCTGGCTCTATCTGTTGTTTTGAACATTGCAGACTGAAGCTCAGTGCTAACTTTTATACGTTCTGCCTTGGCTCCAAAAACCATTACCTCAGTTTTATCTTTGTTTAATTGGAGAAAGTTCTGACACATCCAGTCATTGATTTGTTCAATGCACTTACTCAGTGTTTGAATTGGAGCATAGTCTCCTGGTGAAATGGTTACGTAAATGTGTGTGTCATCCGCATAGCTATGGTAACTTATTTTGTTGTTCTTCATTATCTGAGCCAGTGGTAGCATGTAGATGTTAAAGAGAAGAGGCCCCAAGATGGAGCCTTGAGGAACCCCACATGTCATATTTGTCAACTCAGATGTGTATTTACCTATAGAAACAAAGTGTTTCTGTCCTTTAAGTAGGATTCAAACCAATTTAGAACCATGGAGAGATACCATGGTTTAGACTTGGTTCTCTTTGGTAGGTGCGCAGACTTAGAAAAAAGTCTCTTGGCAACACGATCCTCCAATCAGCATTCGGCCGGAGCGACATCCTGTTTATGAATAACTCTTTGTATTCTTTCAGTGTCTGCACCTGACCTTGCTACTCTGTATTGCAGGCTAAAGACGTCTATTTATTCCAAAGTCACTGCCACATAAATGAGCACAATAAGCTTATAAAGTAATGATAAGAATCAGTCTTTGTAATGTTATATACAAATAGCCTCCACCAGCTACCCTGCAGTATACAAAGTCATTCAAACTAGCTGCACCTTCACCAGCTTTGAGAACACTTTAATGATCAATCATTATAAAACATATCATATATATTATTCTGAAATGGACCAATCTGCACAACGACTACTTTTACTGTCGCTACTTTCACTATATTTTGATGATAATACTTTTCTACTTTACTTGAGGAACATTTTTAATGCAGGACTTTTACTGCAACAGAGCATTCCTACACTCTGGTACTTCTACTTTTACTCAAGTACAAGATCTGAGTACTTCTACTTTTACTCAAGCACAAGATCTGAGTACTTTTACTCAAGTACAAGATCTGAGTACTTCTACTTTTATTCAAGTACAAGATCTGAGTACTTCTACTTTTACTCAAGAACAAGATCTGAGTACTTCTACTTTTACTCAAGTACAAGATCTGAGTACTTCTACTTTTACTAAAGTACAAGATCTGAGTACTTCTACTGTTACTTAAGTACAAGATCTGAGTACTTCTACTTTTACTCAAGAACAAGATCTGAGTACTTCTACTTTTACTCAAGTACAAGATTTGAGTACTTCTACTTTCACTCAAGTACAAGATCTGAGTACTTCTTCCATCTCTGGTATTTTACCATTATGCTACTTTCTAATACTAGTCCACTATTTGAGTAAGACACAACTCTTTTTACAGGTATTTCATGTTTATGTATTATATAGGAAATATTTAGTTTTTTAATGTTTTGCAATTTGAGAATATAATAACTGTTCTACAGTATAATTGATCGGAAAAACCACGACCGAATTAGTTTTGCAGAGGAAAAAACACCTGATTGTAAAACAAAAATATATTGGACTCATATTGCATGTTTGTCGTAATGATGGCATCTAACTTCTTATATTCTTACTCGTCACTTTCACCATTTTCCCTTTGGAAAGTGTAACACCTCTCATTTGCTCCTTCAGTTTTACAGAGGGTGATTGCTGCACTGGATTTCTGCTACAGGAAGAGTTGTTGTTCCCTTTCTATCCTGCAGATGGCGCCACCTGAACACAGCTACAGACAATAAGGTACCTGACACTGTGCACTGTAAGACATATTGCTTATTTAGGAATACTTAGTTTTCATTCATTATTTATAAATCAAGTAGGATTATATAGGATTGACTAGAAACCCGTTTAAATGCCATCAAACTGAAGCTCCTTTTCTCATTCTTTCCCAAAAGTAGAGTAAACCTCCTTTACCGATTCGGAAATAGAGACCCCAAAGTAACGTAGTGAAATAAACCACGCCCTCCCATCATAACTTAATTAGAGTTTATTAATTACTTTCCGTCATGCAGCGGAGGAAAGGGATCTGGGGTTCAACCTAAATTAGGTTGTCTCTCTCAATTAGTAAAGCAACATTTAATCAGCTCTATTTTCTTCCACTGGGAATCCTGCCTAATTCCATCCAAGGGCCTGTGGTTAAGGGGGATATTGTTTATTTTATTTTATTATTTACTCAACGGTAGGGCCTGGAGATGGAAGTATTTGCAGCAGATCCTGCATCCTCCACCGCTTCCTCCAGGACTTTGCTGGACTTCTAATCACACCAAAACATATTCTCAAAGGTGTCAAAGCATTAATAAAGTGTAACAGTTGAAATGCTCGTTAATCACACTGATTTCTTGGCTGTAGTCATTGTTTATGTGATATACTTTTACCCGTATTACCCACATCTTATTGGTTGTCTTGCCTCAGTCAGGGCATTGTAAATGTGTTGTGGAAATAGCAGACCGATACATGTATAAGAGTTGTTTTATCTGCTTTCATAGCAAAATCGACCTTGTTGTCTAATTATCACAAGAGATGTATGACACATTCGTCAGACCACACCTCACCACGGTGGTCTTTGTGGTACTTTCAACTTGTTTTTTTTAATACTAGCAGCACTATGGGTCATGTTTGTACAAAGGCGTCCCGTTTTCTTTCTTCCTATATAGGCATGGACCAGGCAGGGAGAGAACAGAATAAGACACACTTTTGTGAGTCTTTCCACTGTTCCAGCAATCAAGACAGTTTAAAAGAGAGACCGAATATGTGACGGATATAGAGAAGAAGTAACCACAGTAATAGTTGAAAAGGCATACTTGTGTGCTGGCAATGATAAAGGAATGAATTGCCTATTTGAGGGGTTTACTCGTGTTTAAAATACCTGCATATACGCGCACATTTGTGTGGGAAAAGGCTTAAATTGAAATATACCTCATCATGTAAGTGCTATTTTAAGGAGCTTCTGAAATGATTCAAGAAACTTCCTATGGAGGGAACTTTGGGATGTTAGCCTTCTTCAGACCATTTAACATGCACACAAACCTATATTACACACTAGAGGAAAGGGAACACCCCAAAAATAAGAATAGGTCCTCTTTAAAAATCTATTCCAAGTCCATTTAACAAATACTGAACCGACTGTGGCCATATTCTTTAATTGCATATGATTTTTCATATTAAATAAAATAAGAGTAAAGAGTCGTCTTTTTTCACATTATCCTCTCATTTCATTTCATTTCATTTCATTTCAAACCTTTATTTAACCAGATTGGTCCCATTGAGATCATAGATCTCTTTTTCAAGGGAGACCTGCACTAGAAATCAAAGAACGTATTCATATCATGCCCCATTTTTGCATTTTTTGCATTTGTGATTGATGTTATTCTGAACCTGATTTTGAAGCAGCCAAGGCTCCAGTCCCTGCCTCCTCTGGGACTGGTCCTGTAGCTCTACTTTGGAAAATGGACTGGCCAAGGATCTTGTGTTTCATATATAGACTGTTTTTTACTCCGCAGTTCCCGATAGAGATCAGCAATCTGGCTGCTCTATTTTTAGTGAAGATATTAGAGCGAGGGAGAAAACAGATGCTCTTTGCTTCAGGTATCGGTCAGTGAGAGTCCAAAAGCCTCATCTTCTGTGATAAATGGCATCATTACTAAAACATTAATGCTGAGTAATGTTCAGTCATTTATACTTAGGTTAGGTACAGGGACTTGTACCTTACTTGAGTATTTACATTGTTTGCGTTTGTGTACTTTAATACCTTTAGTTACTTCACAGATGTGGATGAATGATGTGAAATATAATCAAGTGTTAAATCAGACTTTAGTTCCACCTGGAGTAAATCCACCAGCTACCCTGCAGTATACAAAGTCATTCAAACTAGCTGCACCTTTATCAGCTTTGAGAACACTTTCATGATCAATCATTATAAAACATATCATATATATTATTCTGAAATGGACCAATCTGCACAATGACTACTTTTACTGTCGCTACTTTCACTATATTTTGATGAGAATACTTTCCTACTTTTACTTGAGGAATATTTTGAATGCAGGACTTTTACTGAAACAGAGTATTCCTACACTCTGGTACTTCTACTTTTACTCAAGTACAAGATCTGAGTACTTCTACTTTTACTACAAGATCTGAGTACTTCTACTTTTACTCAAGTACAATATCTGAGAACTTCTACTTTTACTCAAGTACAAGATCTGAGTACTTCTTCCACCTCTGGTTACGTTACTTTCCGAAATGAGTCTCGTGTTTTACGTTACATACATTTGAGTAACGACCTCGACACTGACGAGCAGTTGTGCGTCTTTGGAGAGGGCAGGGATTCAGGAGACGCGCAACGGCAGCAGCGTAGTCTGTTTGGAGCCACTGGTTGAGATCATTGAACACTCAGAGCACTGTGTGAACGGATTATGGGATACAAATTGACTACCTCCACTTACCTAATAATGGAAACCCCACTTTCTATCCCTAAATAGCCACTAAAACGTCGGATGAGTGACAACAGAGATGCTGCGAACAACGGCCGAAATCCTGGAGCGTCTTTTTTTATGTTTTGGACTGTGGGTGTGTGATCACTGAACACTCAGAGCACTGTCTGAACGGATTGTGGGATACAAATCGGCACATTCACCTACCAAAATGATGGACCCTCTAAATAGCACCTAAAGCGTTGGATGAGTGGGATCAGAGATGCTGCGAACCACAACAATCCTGGAGCGTCTTTTTTGAAGAGCACTGTGGGTGTGTGCACTGTCTGACCGGATTGTGGGATACAAATTGACCACCTCCAACTTCCAAATTATGGAAACCTAAACTCGCCCCCCTAAATAGCCACAAAAGCATCGGATGAGTGAGACCAGATATGCATTTCTTGCTTTTTTGATCGGGGCTGTGGGTGTGTTTTACGCGCTGGGCTCGTCGTTTCGTCCGGACTTGCTGCTCGCCAAAACTTCCCCCCTGCTTCCCATCAAGTCATGTCTGATACACAGCGATGGGCAAGTTTGACGACAACGAGAGGATAATCCTCAACGTGGGGGGCACCAGGCACGAGACGTACAAAAGCACCCTGAAAACACTGCCGGGCACGCGCTTGGCCCTGCTTGCCTCCGACTCGGACATCGACTCGGTGCTGGATCAGCTGCAACAAGTGCCGGGGTTTCTAGAGTACAATGCGCGGACAAACGAGTACTTCTTCGACCGCCACCCGGGGGTTTTCGCCTATGTGTTGAACTACTATCGCACCGGGAAGCTCCACTGCCCGGCGGATGTGTGTGGACCTTTATTCGAGGAAGAGCTCTCTTTCTGGGGCATCGATGAGATGGACGTTGAGCCCTGCTGCTGGATGACGTACCGCCAGCACCGGGACGCGGAGGAGGCTCTGGATGTGTTTGAGCTCAACGTGGACACCGGGGAGGATGAGGATGAGATAGGGAAGAGGTTTGGGATTGAGGACGTGGTGGATGGGAATGTGAGTCTGTGGAGGAAGTGGCAACCGGTCATCTGGAACCTGTTCGAGGACCCATATTCATCCAGGGCGGCGAGGGTAAGGCTTTCAAAACACACACAATAACAATTATTTCCCCCAAGTCTTCAAAAAGTGAGTTCAACCGTGAATTTCCCACAAAAGTTCAGTAAAAGTTGATTTAAAGTCTCAGAAACGTTCCTATAAATAGTTAGATGACTTCAGTGGATCATCTCTTTCCAAACTGTTCATGTTATATAATATTGCTTAAGAAGTAATCTACTTTATTCATTATCTGTTCAAGTCAAGACACCTGTTTAGGAACCTCATCTGCAAACCGGTTCATTTAAAGCCTCAAAAAGTAATTTCAACCCCAGAAAATGTAAATAAAGTAATACAAGTCTAAATAACTTTCCTCCTAAAAAAGCGAGATGTCTTGCAGTGGATCAACTCGTTCAAAACTCTTTATTTTGTGTGAATTATATATGACTCTACTGAAGTAATCTACTTTATTTATAATCCTTTCAAGTCATGAAACCTGTTTAGAACCTCCTCATTCACAGGAAAGCCTCCAAAAGTTATTTTTAAACCCAAAATTCCACGAAAAGTTAGTCAGAACTAGTCTCAGAACTTTAATAATATACTAATATAATATCTCTACTTTATTCAGAATGCTTTCAAGTCAAGACACCTGATTATGAACTTGATCTGCGTACAGGTTCAACTATCACTTTGAAAATAAAGCAAGGCTTACTCTCTGTCAGGATGGATCTTCTTAGCAGCAGCAGCGTATTTTAGAGCCTGCATTATTTCCCCATCATCATGCAGTTGTAAGGGATTTGTTTATTTACAGCTTATTCAACTTCAACACTTGCAGCCATTTAGATCTCAATGAGAAACACTCAATAAACAGAATAATACATGTATTTTCCAAAACGAGTAGTAGCTCATGCTGTGAATATGAGGCATGTTACCTTATAAACATTAATGTTACACTCAGACAGTGTGATACAACAGAAGTGTTCATGTTGAGGTTTTACCTGCAGAAGTATGCATGCTGATTTTTGACACCCTGATTGAAACAACTGACGTGTATTTTTCCTCTTTTTAAAACTTTAACACCATCATAGTTGTTAGAAAATCACACCTCACACAAGAGTTATTCTCAAATGTGCAAAGCCCTATCATTTGTTTTTTTAATAATGAAAAGGCAGGGTGTTAAATTGATTTTAAGCGTAAGAAAAAATGTCTCCAAAGTACTATTAACTTTCATAATGTGACCCCGCTGTAAGTGAAGGTCGGGGGCGCTGCTGAGCGTTAGGCTGCAGGTGAATTCTGGGTAATGGACAACAAATCGATCCCTTATCTTATTGGCCAGCTGAGTGAAGACTTGGTGTGTGAATAAAAAAATGTACGCAATGGCCACACACACATACTGTATCTTCATAATGTCCCCAGCAGCATTTTAACCAAACAGATATAAGACAAGTATGTGTACATCTGTGGTTTAATATTAATTATAGTGACAAAATACTTTTGAACGGTCGCCTTAGTTGCAGATAAAACCCAGAATACGTGTTTTTCTGGGACATTTTGAGGTAGTAAATGTATCCTAACGTTACAGCATTCCCACAATTATTGTGATGAGTCGATGTATGGCATCAATGTGTCCTCTTGATTCATTTAATATCTAATCGATTCCTTTTTATGAAGTCAGGTCTGTTGTATCTAGATTTTTAACAAAAGGGTGGAGGTGTTGCACATTAGAGTTGAATACCTCAAATTGATACTGAACCTAGATATTATTCGCAAAGCAACATAAACCTTGCATTACAGTTAGCTGGAAATCATTATTTGTCAAAGAAGCCGTGATGAATTCGGTCGATTTGGTGTTCCTTGTACTTTTCCAGCAGATGTTATTAGTTACTTGTTGGCGGTTGCGCTCCTGACGAAGGAGCTAGATGTAAATATTGAGTTAGTGATGGAAACTAATGCGTGTGTCTCCCTGCACACACACACACACACACACACACACACACACACACACACACACACACACACACACACACACACACACACACACACACACACACACACACACACACACACACATTTCCCCGCCACCAACAGCACACAGAAGCATCTGTTTCTACAAGGGTCTTCCTGGGAACCAGAGAGAGTGATGATGCTCCTGTTAGCTTATCCTCATCCTTGTGTGTGTGAACTTACCTCCGTTAGAAAAGGCCAACTGGCTTCTGGTTAACCTTTAATACACTCAGCCTTCCTCTGTGAACGTGTGTGTGAGAGAAAGAGAGGTGATGCGTAGTGCCTGGGAGAGCAAGTGTGTTTCTAAAAGAAGGACACTAACCGCCCCCTGAGAAGGCGTTAGATGAGAGGAATGTTGAATATTCCTCCATCGAATGAAAGGCCTGCTAACCGGTGTCAGTGGAAAGCTCACACACAGTTCCCTTTGACAATATTAGGCAAGTGTATTTATATAGCACACACAAGGCAATGCAAAGGGCTTTAGTGTAAGGTATAAATAGTTATTTTATGAAGTGTTACTTGATTTAAACACAACGCAGCGGCAACTATAAAAGTCTTCAACCTGGATTTAATAGAAGATATTAACAGTGTTGTTCTCGATAACATCAATCGATCCATCACCGTTTGCAAAAAGGCTTTTTCATTATATTATATTTACATCTGCTAAAAACATTTTATAGCGCCTTTGTGTAAAAAAAGGTTGGCGAACTGTGTCCTGTTAAAAGTTGTGTTAAGTCTCTTCTCCTCTATCCAGTAACTCACCATGAAATGACACACACACACACACACACACACACACACAAACACACACACACACACACACACACACACACACACACACACACACACACACACACACACCAGTGTCCACGTGCCAGCAGTCAGTAGCAGGCGTGTTTCTCTGCCCCCCCCCACGCTGTTTCTATTGTTGCATCCTGTTCTCTCTCCTCTCTCTGTAATCTGCATGCAGCGCGTTCCAACAGCAGCGCTTTGATTTCTATCCTGTTGGTTATTATTGTGCTTTTTTCTGAATTTAAAATACATGTGTGTGTGTGTGTGTGTGTGTGTGTGTGTGTGTGTGTGTGTGTGTGTTTGTGTGTGTATGTGTGTGTGTCTGTGAGTGTGTGTGTCTCTGTGTGTGTGTGTGTGTGTGTGTGTGTATGTGTGTGTGTGTGTGTGTGTGTGTCTGTGAGTGTGTCTGTGTGTGTGTGTGTGTGTGTGTGTGTCTCTCTCTGTCTCTGTGTGTGTGTCTCTCAGTGTGTGTCTCTCTGTGTGTGTGTGTGTGTGTGTGTGTGTGTGTGTGTGTGTGTGTGTGTGTGTGTGTGTGTGTGTGTGTGTGTGTGTGTGTATGTGTGTGTGTGTGTGTGTCTCGCTGTCTCTCTGTGTGTGTCTCTCTGTGTGTGTGTCTCTCTCTATCTCTCTGTGTGTGTGTGTGTGTGTGTGTGTGTTAACCTGTGTGTCTCTCTCATATCTCAGTAGTTGGCTTATGCTGGATATGAATGGTAACGAAAAACAACACCACCTTTCTTTGTTTGTTTGTAGCCTTTATTTAACGGTGAAACCCCTTGAGATCAAAAGATCTCTTTTCAGGGTGACCAGCAGCACATTAGTTACACATGTAACATAACAACAACAGAACAACAATAAGGATGACAGACAACATAATGGACAGTTTACAAACTCTATTCACGGTGACGGGAACCATGAGTATCAGACAGCATGTCACCCAGCCCAGTTTGTCATTGTTTCTACATCTCCCATGTCTGCTCTCTGAGTCAGAGGTGCTGACTGACTGATGCCTGACTTTGTAGTTTCTCCCCCTCACCCATGCATCCCCCCCTCTTTATTATCCCATGATGCCACCTGAGACTGCATCTTGCTTTCTTTCTTTCACTTAGAGGTTAACAAACCCAAACCGGGTGCCGCTGCACGCCTGAAGATAAAATTAAAAAAACATAGAAAAAAAGCCAGGCTGCATGCTCAGCCTGCCGGTTGTCATGGCAACATCATCATCGCTCATCACGGCCTGTTTTCATTCAGATCCGTCCGGTGTGTGAAACTGATTTTTTCATTTTTAGAGAAACCTGCTCGACCGACCATAAACGATCACTGCTGTGTTTCTGAGACGAAGTGTTGGAGCGTCGCTAACGCATGATGCCGCTTTAACTGCTTTCCTAATGCTGTCAGAGGGGGGAAGTAACTAAGTACATTTACTCAAGTACTTAAGTACAATATTAGATACTTTACTTGAGTGTTTCCATGTTATGCTACTTTATATTTCTACTCCACTAAAGTTCAGAGGTAAATGGTGTACTTTTCCTCCACTCCATGTATTTAATACTTTTAGTTACTTCACAGATGTGGATGAATGATGTGAAATATAATCAAGTGTTGAATCAGACTTTAGTTCCACCTGGAGTAAATCCACCAGCTACCCTGCAGTATACAAAGTCATTCAAACTAGCTGCACCTTCACCAGCTTTGAGAACACTTTCATGATCAATCATTATAAAACATATCATAGATATTATTCTGAAATGGACCAATCTGCACAACGACTACTTTCACTGTCGCTACTTTCACTATATTTTGATGATAATACTTTTCTACTTTTACTTGAGGAACATTTTGAATGCAGGACTTTCACTGTAACAGAGTATTCCTACACTCTGGTGCTTCTACTTTTACTCAAGTGCAAGATCTGTGTACTTCTACTTTTACTCAAGTACACGATCTAAGTTCTTCTACTTTTACTCAAGTAGAAGATCTGAGTACTTCTACTTTTACTCAAGTACAAGATCTGAGTACTTCTACTTTTACTCAAGTAGAAGATCTGAGTACTTCTACTTTTACTCAAGTACAAGATCTGAGTATTTCTACTTTTACCCAAGTACAAGATCTGAGTACTTCTACTCTTACCCAAGTACAAGATCTGAGTACTTCTACTTTTACTCAATTACATGATCTGAGTACTTCTACTTTTACTCAAGTACAAGATCTGAGTACTTCTACTTTTACTCAAGTACAAGATCTGA